AAAGCTTCTAAAATGTGGGTTTGGAGAAGGAAGGAAAAGATAAGCTGGGCAGAGAGGAAGACCAATCAGGCTGTCAATGGTGGGATAAATGAGGCAGTTGAGGGAAAGGATTTTTGAATCCAAAACGATGTGGTTGGACACGCATTGCGTGGAAACGAGTTGTGTATGCGTGTGTATGCGTGTGAACAAAAACACAAATACCGTTATGTATACACACACACTACAGAATGAATTACCTCCACAGTTGGCTCGAAATGACAATGTGACAACTCAAGACTCACATGAGACTTAGTCAAAACTGAAACGGAGGGTCGAAGCCTTACGTCTTATTCCGTTTCTGCCATAGCAGTGTTTCATATTGTGTGTATTTATGCGTATGTATGTAGGGACACATAATAGTAATGTATATGTATATGTAAAATACATATTACATAGACATATACATAAATATATGTGTTGATAGATAGATACAGACACACACACACACACACACACACACACACACACACACACACACACACACACACACACACACACACACACACACACACACACACACACACACACATACATAGATAAATACGTACACTTCAGTGTATACATACGTACATAATATAAAGTGTATGGGCGCGGGCGTTCCTCTTTGTGTGGTGTGGCCCGAAATAGACTCACGGGAAGAGAGATCGGCGTCCAGGTAGCCCGTCATGCAACAAGATCATGCATGTTTGCGGAGGTTGAGCGGTTGCTGGATGGGTAGACGGGGAGGGGAGGGGGGCGCTGGGCGGACGGGTAGACAGGTAGACCGTGAGGCAGGTAGACAGGCAGACATGCCACCCGGGGGGGGATTAATGCCGGCGGAGTGGGTCTGGTCTCCGGCAGTGAAGAAGCCGGATCAATACTGGCGAGTCCGTGCATGGCGGGCTGCGGCGGGGCTCCATCCCTCTCCTTCCCTCTCCTCTCCTCTCCTCTTCTCTTCCCCCTCCCCTCCCTCCCCTCTCCTGCTCTCTCCTCCCCTCTCCCTGCACCCCCCTGCTCCTCCCCTTCCACCCGTCCTGCATGGCAGTAGGCGGAGCTTCGGGTCCAGACCGCGCGGGGGCGCGTCCCCCCATACCCCCTTCTTGCATGGCAAGGGCGGGGCTCATGACGGGAATGTGCGAGGGTTCCTGCGAGTTGGCGAGGGGCAAGGGCGGCGTCGTCGGAGGTGCACTTGGAGGCGAGGAGAGGGAGGGCGGACTCGCCCCGTGTCAGGCACTTTTCACCCCCGCGGAAGGGCCGGGGTGCGTGTGGCCGGACGGGCCCTGCATGGCGACGGGAAGGCAGTGTGCCGAACGGAGGGGGGGGGGGCAAGCCATGCAAATGCACGGGGGCTGGGCGTCCAAGAGGGGGCAGGGGGGTGGAGGGGGAGGCCCAAGGGAGAGGCAGGGGCATGCATATAAAGAGGTGTGGTTAGGGAGGAGGAGGGGCATGCAGGGAAAGAGGAGGGGCAGGGGAGAGGCAAACAGGGAAAGGGTTAGGGCAGGGAAGGAAGTGCACAGTCCGGGAGGGGCAAGGGAGAGACGGGCCACCAGAAGGGGAGTGGCTTCCGGGAAGAGGCCATGCGTGGGCGTCGTGGGCGGGCGGGCGTGAGTGAGCGAGTGCCCAATTAATGGCGACAGAACATGCTCTACATCATCCGCTGCGTGACAAGCAGCGAGATTTGAGGGCGACGCAAGCACACATGCACAACCGCATGCGCTCGCTCGCGCCAGCGGAATCACGAGTAACGAGAAAGCGCCGTTCTGCAGCTGCACAGGATTATGATGATGACAATTCTGACGTTACGATTAGTCAGGCTTTCGCTCTTTGGAAGACGCTGGCGGCGGCCCAGCGCCTCCACGGTCGCCGGAGATGCGTTCCAGCGAGGTACTGTGGCCACTGGCATCCCGGGGCCCGAATACGGGAGACAGGCAGCGGGTATGGGCAGTTGTTGAAAGATTGTAAATCATGGCACAGGCGAGGAGGCAGCGTGGAGGGGCCGGCGCGGTTGGCTCCGTGCCAGGTCGCGTCGCCGCCGCCACCTGTGACAACCGCACCTTACCAACCGCACCTTGCCAACAGGCGCTCGGGGGCGATGTCACCGCCGAGAGCTCCGAGGCGGCCGTGGGCGAGCGCCGTAGTAGCGGCGTTGAAGGACTGCCGTCATCATAGTAACAGCGGTAATGATGGGAGGATAATGATGAGAAAAAAGTTGATGAGAAAGATGCTGAGAACCATCGGTATTATTACTTGTTCATCATATTTTGATTGATTAGTATTATATTATTTCTTGTTAGTTCCTTGTATTCCGCATCCTTGCACTGTCCTCGCCTGCACAGTACCCGTGTTGTCCCGGTACACTCGTCCCAAGGCTGACGCACAATAAGCAACATGACGGGGCGCATAAAGCGTGGATAAGCACCTATCAGTATGCCAAACCCCTATGCGCCGGGCAGCGTGCATGGGCGATCAGTGTGACATGCAGGAGAGGGGGCAGGGGGAGGGGGCGGATACGCGGGGAGCGGAGCGGAGGGCAGGGGCTGGGGGAGGGGGGCTGGACTGTAAGGACGCCAACCCAGGTTTCGTAAGTCGAAGTAAAAGAATAAATGAAGAGATGAAAATAAAGGAGTAAGATATAGTAAAAGGTAAAGACGAAAGGGCCAGAGCTAATCGAAGAAAAAGTACGGCTCTGGAGCGTTGATTTCGCGGCGGTCGATTCGCGTGCCGAGCTAAACGTGCGGGCTGAGCAAACATTCGCTGAAATGGCGCGAGGGACGACAGACTTGGCAGTGTTTGTATAAGGTAAGGCAGGTTGGCAGGAGAAATTATCTGTGAGGCTTCCTTAAACTTTTTTTCTTTGGTCACCTCTCCCTCCCTCTCTCTCTCTCTCTCTCTCTCTCTCTCTCTCTCTCTCTCTCTCTCTCTCTCTCTCTCTCCGTCTCTCTCTCTTTCCCCCCTCTCTCCCCCTCTTTCTCTCTCTCTCTCCCTCTCTCTCATTCTCACACTCTCTCCTTGCCTTTCATATTCTTCTCCCTTTCTTCCCTCGGTTCTCTCCGTCCCCCCCCCCCCCCCCGCCTCCTTGCTCCCCTGTCCTTTATATAAACTGCGGGACAATAACAATGTCGTGTGGAGCTGCCTGCCCGCAGCTAGATGACGCAGCAGTCCGCGAGCATGAAAACAAGGCAACGGAAGCAAGCGATAGGTATTGTGGAACGCCAATTGCTCGGCCGAAACGGGCGTCGCGACAAGCCTGCTTCGGGGCTCTACAGCTAGGTATCTCGGGTACCCCCCCCCCCCTTCATGACGTCACCTCGCCGATCTGCAAAGAGATGTGATCTGTTAAAGGAGAAGAGAACCTCTGGGAGAGAGTGTTATCGGGGAGCAGAGATCCAGCCGCTCTGCTTGTGTAAGCTCTTGCGCGCGGCCGAGGGCTCTTTGTACTGAAATCAGGCAGCGCTATGTAGCAATGCAATCAGAGCGTGGGCCATAATGAGCGGGGTCGTTAGTATTCCAGGAGGCCATCGAGGAATCGGGCGGCGGGAGATTGGGCAATGGCTTGACGTCACTGACGTTGCCATTCCCTCGGGGCATGTACAGCTACTCGAAGAGTTGTCGCGGGTGGGCGCTGGAGCGATGGCTCTCTGAGGAGGGCGTCGTGAGGCTGTCGTTTGGGAATGGACCGACGTTCCTAAGGGGTTCCAGCTACTTGAGGAAGAATACCTTTTTTTATGTTATGAGCCCTTTAAGTAGGAAGGAGAAAGGAGGTAGAAGGAAAGAGAGAGAAAAATAAAGGGTGGCCAAGGAGAGATCCTTGGCCACCCAAGGCTTGCTGGCGCGTTTGTTTGTTCCCCGCCCATCGCCAGGAGGCCTTGGGGCGTGAATGTGAGCAAGCCGGAGGAGGCCCTAAGGGGGGAGGCTGTTTGAGGGACTAAGTTGCTGGAGTTTGATCAAGGGACGTGTCCTTATTGCCGCTGCGGGGGGGGGGTCGTGGGCTCGTAAGGTCAGCTGCCTCCCCGCCGTATGGGCCGGGCTGTGAGAAGATCTTGCTGATCATGCTGGGTCGCCGCGGAATGCTTCCGACGGAGCTCCGGCCGGCGACGCTCCGGGCGCGGCCACACGGGCTCCTCCTAAGTCGTAACTGGATCCTTCCAGGGATGAGTCAGATTCTGTCCTCGCGAGCAGAGTGCCGAAGAAGAAAACGAATTTCCAGATTCCGAAACGCCGCGCGGAGTTTGAATTCCTCCGCATTTGCGATTCGGGGAAAATGCCGTTGACAGTCGATGAATAGCGAGAAGGTCGCGGCTGATTGGTGGGCGCGATAGCGAGGATCAAACGCGGGATCCAGAGTTTATTAAACAGGAACTCTGTGTGGGAGATTTTGCCAGTCATTGTTTCAACAGGCGGAGCAGCCCGAGAGAGAGTCACTGTGTCGTCCGGTAGATGTGTGCGTGTGTCTGTTGGCATGTTTGTGTGTATGGGGCTGGGAGTATGTGTGTGTATTTATCTATGTTTGTATATATATATATGTATGTATCTATGTATGTATATCTATATATATGTGTGTGTGTGAGTGTGTGTGTGTGTGTTTGTTTGTGTGTGTGTGCATGCTTGTGAGTGTGCGTGCGCGCGTGTACCTACACACACACACACATATATATATATATATATATATATATATATATATATATAGTAGTGTGTGTGTGTGTGTGTGTGTGTGTGTGTGTGTGTGTGTGTGTGTATTTATACACATATACATATATATACATATACATATACATATACATATACATATACATATACATGAGTACATCTATTCAAAGATACATATATGCATATTTACATATATACATATATGCGTGTATATATGTGTGTATGTATGTATGCATGTATATGTATATATATGTGTGCGTGTGCGTTTGTGTATACAGACATATGGATGTATTTATATATATGTATGTATGTATACACATGCGTTCATTTCCGTTCGTTTTAAGAAGTGAGAGAGCCAGACAGGGCGCCGTGCGCTCGGCAGGCGAGCCAGAGGGAAACAGCGGGTGGCGGGCGCGCGCGGCGCAGCCCCGAAAGGGAAAAGCGAGAGGCGAGGAGAGAGCGACGGCGAGCAGGAAGGCGGCTGGGCAGCCCGTGTCGAGGGCACTCCCCAGCCCGCCGCTCTCAGTACCCGCCGTGCCCTCGCGCCGCCGCCACCTGCTGGTCTCATGTTGCACACCTGTTGAATCGTTTCTGCTCCCGCGCCCTTCTTACAGCCTCTATCAGCTTGCACCGGGCGGCTGCAGCAGCACCGCGCCTCGCCCGCCGCCGTGCAGCAGCTGTTTCGCGAGTGACCGAGGAACGCCGTGGCATGGTCGATGCGAACCTCGGAGTGCAGAGGATGCCGAGTGCAAAGTGCGAGGAGCTCCTCTTGCTTGTGTGTGCCTACGTGTGCCTGCGTGTGCCGTCGGGAAGCGTAGCATGAGCTTGTCGTCGGTTCCTACGACCCGGGGAGAGTGTGTAGTGTGCGCCGCGACTCGTTCTTCCGCGGGCGCCTGCGGGAAATGTGTTTGTGAGTGCAGTGGGTGACCTTTGAGCGAAATCTCAAGAAGATGAGTGTACTTGGCGTGGCGGCATTGCATTGGGAAGTTCATATATTTCACAGGTCTTTCGTGAAGAAGTTGACTGTGGGCGTGATCAGATAACGGCCAGAGCGAGATGGAAACGCGGAGCCAACCGAGCCGCGGCCGGCGCTGGTGAGCGTGGCGCTGCATGTGGATGTGCTTGTGGTGGTGGCTGGCGGCTATGGGCACAGGACCCTCGCTCAATACCGTGGGCAGCCCGCGGCGCCACTGCCAACGTGCCCCGAGTGTGCACAGCATGGAGGAGGGCGGCCGGGGCCCCGTCTGGCGCACCTGGTGCGGTTGCCTGCGCTCCCGAGCGGCCGCGCGAACACCCACCCGCCAGTACCAGGCGCTGGACCGAGGCCGCGACTCCCCGTGCGCCGCCTCGGCCTCCGCCAGCCTCAACCTGCGCTCCGTGGTGGCCAACCTCAGTCCGCTCCCCACCTCCTGCACCTCGGCCACCTCCACCACCACCTCCACCACACTGACTGAACCTTTACTGGCCTCGCGAGAACTCACGCCCGCCATCCTCCCGAGGGACAGTGTTAGGGCCCTGGCCTCGCAGGACTCGGGCTCCTGCTCCTCGGTCATGACCTCTGGCGGAAGCGCGGCCTTAGACCACCTTCTGCCCACCAGGGACGCCTCGCCCGACGCTGACACCATGGGCGCCGCCCTCTCCGCCTCGTCTCTGCCTGGCGCCCAGGACTCCAGACCCCCGTCGGGTGCCCAGGACGCCGCCTCCGCCCCGGTGGCCACCAAAGTCCGAATCACGACCCGCGAGATTCGGCCGACGGTGCTGTCGGTGGCGGGGGCGCTGGGGCGGCAACCCGTGACGAGGGTCCGGGTGACCACGCGAAGGGGCAGCATCTCGAAGAAGCATGTCGCCGATGGGGCCCCCGAGCTCACGGTGACCACCCGCAGGGACAGCATCTCCAAGCAAGGCATCGACGCTGCCCCTGAGCTCACAGTGACCACGCGGAGGGGCAGCCTCTCCAGGCCCTCCCTTGACGCGACCCCCGAGCTCACGGTGACCACGCGGAGGGGCAGCCTCTCCAGGCCCTCCCTTGACGCGACCCCCGAGCTCACGGTGACCACGCGGAGGGGCAGCCTCTCCAGGCCCTCCCTTGACGCGACCCCCGAGCTCACGGTGACCACGCGTAGGGGCAGCCTCTCCAAGAAGCATGTCACCGCCGACGGGGCACCCGAGCTGACGGTGACCACGCGGAGGGGCAGCCTCTCCTTGCAGACCCTCGACGCGGCCCCCGAGCTGACGGTGACCACGCGGAGGGGCAGCACCTCCGTGCAGGGCATCGAAGGGGGGCCGGGGGTGCTGGTGACCACGCGGAGGGGCAGCGCCTCCGTGCAGGGCATCGAAGGGGGGCCGGGGGTGCTGGTGACCACGCGCAGAGGCAGCGTCTCCAAGCATGGCGTCGAATTGCCCCCCGAGGTGACCGTGACCGCACGCAGAGGCAGCTTCTCGCAGGAACGGATCATCGAAGTCGGCCCTGACCTGACGGTGACCACGAGGAGGGCCAGTCTGTCGCAGGAGCAGATCTTCGAGATGGTCCCTGACCTAACGGGGACCACGCGGAAGGGTACTCTGCAACCTGAGCAGGTCCTGGAGGTGGTCCCCGATTCGACGGCGTCCTCGCGGAGGGGCAGCCTGGCCCAGGAGCAGGCCCCCGACGGCGTCCCCGAGTTCCTGGTGGCCAACCGCAGGGGCAGCCTCTCCAGGATCTCTGCGTCTCAGCTGGACGTGGCCGGCGAGCTGAGGGTGACCAAGGTGGTCATCCCCGGCAAGGATTCGCGGGATCTCACACGGTACTGATCGCCAGGTTTCGGTAGTGTTGCAGCGTCGGTGAAGGCGAGCCTTTGGTCTTGCGAGTCGTTATCCACGCTGGGTCCTCGAGACTGTTTAGCTAGCCGTCTTGCGGGACGTCAGTGTGGGCTGCGAGCTTTTTGTTTTAGAAGTCGTGCGTGCGTGTAAAAGGTGACACGGTGACCTCTTACTTGGATGACGTCATTCTCTCGGGCCGTCACCGGTACACTTGAGTCAACTGTTAAACATTCAACTCTCTCCCCTTCTCTCTCTCGGCAGCTGACTGGTGGAGCTCGTCTAAATCATAGCGGAAAGCGTTCCTCGTTCGGATGGGAGTTGGGGATGCATTCGAAGTGTTTAGGAGTTAGAAAGAAGACTCGTTTTAACTAGGCAGCAGCTTGTAGAGGGCAAGATCGGGCTGCCGTGGCCGGACTTGGCTGGCTGGCGTGGCCTCGGTGGAGTCAGTTTTTTTCTGTTTGTCACAGATCACTTCTGCTTACCGCGTTGTGACAACACTAGGCACGTACGTCTCGCGCGCCTTGTACAGAGCGAGCCATAATAAGATCAAGCTGCTCTGGTATGATTTCCAGAGGCGTGTGTCTCCGCGAGAGCACGCAACGGCATCTTTTCATAATACTTTCGTCAGCTTGTTGGGGGCCTTTTGGAAGAGGGCTGCTTCTGATTGAGGAGACGCGCATTCATTCCAAACACGAATTGGGAAGCAGTGATGCAGTCAGAACTGATCATTTAGGGGTGTGAAACATCTAAAAAGGGACTTTAATCCAGGTATTTCCCCGAAAGAAAGGTAGCGTGAACAGGGGTTAGCGACGGCTGACCTTGGACACGGTTGCCGGCTCAGGGCGCTAAGGGCCTCGCAACTCTCTACACTGTCTAGCTCCATCCCTGCTCTCGCAACTCGCTGCTTGCAGTGGCCATCCTCTGCAAATCCCTCTCATAAGAATGGCAGAATCTGCACCTCGGGTCTCCGTCACGGGTGCTGGGCAGCTGTGGTGTGGGGGGGGGGAGCGGGCTTTCGGTGTTACTTCTCAGGCAGTCAGTCAGCCAGAGTCAAATGTTGAAGTTATTTAAAATGACAGACTCAGGAGGCCTTATGAAGCCGATTTGTTTTATGTACCTAGGGGGGAGCCCTACCGCCGGCACATTGTTGCACAATGCTTGTGAATTTCCTGTGTGGCGGCGGTTGTTTTTACTTCGCGGAATGTCTCGGGAATGAAAGCAGTCTTGCAAGGCTCTTAAAACGAACCGTAATTTAAGTTTTCAATTATTTGTGCAATTCATATCTCGGGGAGGGGGGGGGGTCGTGAAAGCGAGTCGCAGAAGGACCTGCTCCTCGACCCGAGTGGCCGCTGGTCGCCAGGCAGAGCGCAGCCAACCCGTCCGGGGTTCCAGCATGGCAACGGCGGAGACGATGGTGCGTTCCCCGCGGGATTTGTAGGGCGCCCTTGACCTTCCTTCCCTGCGCCTTCCCCACTCGGCAGGGGAGGGGGAGGCCGGCCGCCCCTTGGCATCGGGGGGCGGCCGGCCGTCGAAATAATATCTTGACGGGCGCTTCTGCCGCCCGTCAAGATATTATTTCGACGTTTGATTCGGCGCCTGTCTGATCGGGGAAGATGAGGGCAGAATGCGGAACGCCGGGAAGGCGAGGCGTTTGATGTGCCGCGAGAAAGGTTCCGGCGCACGGGTGCAGGTGCAGAGGGAGGGAGGGAGGGAGAAGTTAAGTCGAGCTTGGCACACTTGGCACGGCCTGGCGTTGGCAGTGACGTGCAAGGCGCTGGCACTCCACGAGAAGCGTTGTTACCGAGCTCATGACGAGCGTGGCGGACGGGGCCATGGCTGCTTAACCTATATCAGCTGATCGCTCAAGGCCACGGGCGCCTCGGCGGCCGCTGAGGGAGAGCGGGCGAGGGTAGATTCCGCTCCGGGCTCCGTGTTCCGCCGGGCTGTTTTGGGGGAGGCTGTGGGAGTCTTTACATCAGCCGCTGCTGTCGGTTGGCATGATTGCGTCATGCACACGAAGCATTTCCCTCGCGGTGCATGGCGGCGCCGTGGAGTCTGAAGAAAGTGAAGTAAACCCGCTTAATGCGATGCTCGGGCCCTGCCGACGGAGGGAGCATCGAGATGCGCCTCCGCGGCCCCTGCCCTGAGGCGGCCGCATACCGGTTCGTAGCAGAAAGTGCAGCGCGTACCCTATGCTTGTCTGAGGGAGATGAGATGTGTGATAATAGCGGTGCAGCCACGTGAGCTGAGCTGGAAGCAGCGGGCGGCGGTGACTCATCGCAGGTGAAGGTGTGCAACGGTCCCCTCGCTTCCCTCGCCCCCTCCGCGCCCCGCCAGCGTGTTCGTTTCCCCAGTCGCTTCCTGGCCTCCTCTCGCCCTTTTAATTGCCGCTCTGGTGTGGCGAGAGGCTTATCACACCCTCAGCATTGTCAGTGATGTTTCACTTTGGCCGAATTATATCCGCTGCGAGTG